ATATAACAAATCGGATGAACAGTATATATGGGAGCTATAGCTATATCTAAACCGATCTTCACCAAATTTGACATTCTAGCTTCTAGACTCAATTCGGTCGTAAGTGCCAAATTCCATGCAATTTGGACAAATATTAGACGTTTGGTGCACAATAAGACGTAAATCGGACGAAGTTATATATGGGAGCCACATCCAAATCTGAACCGATCTCGATAAAATTTAGCAAGTGTATTATTGAGCTGCATTTGATATATTTCCCCAAATATTGTTGTTACAGAGTGTATATTACGGCTGTGGGTAACAAATATAGCAAATCGGATGAACCGTATATATGGGAGCTATAGCTATATCTGAATCGATTTCGATCAAATTTGGCATACTTATTTTCAGGCCGAATTTGGTTGTATGTGCAAAATTCCATACTATTCGGGCTTATATTACACGTTTGGTGCACAATATAAGGCAAATCGGACGAAGATATATATGGGAGCTTTATCTAAATTTTGACCGATTATCTCCAATTTCAATAGGGTTCGTCCTTGGGCCAAAAAAAAAAAAATGATTTGTGCAAAATTTTCCAATACGGACGGACATGCGAAAATCGAAGCGCTTGCTTGAGGTGATCGGTCTGCGGCTAAATATTTGCGAGCGATAATATTCGGCGTTTATTCTGACGACACGGTCGATTAATACGAGCGGGGCTGTTATGGTGGCCCACACCATCACCATGGCTGACGCTTGAGTTCTGGTGGACAACTGAAGATGCACATTTTCAGCTGACCTCTTTGGCAAGTAAACACGATCATTTTGTTTGTTTATAAACTGCTGGACAACGAATGTTTTCTCATCGCAGAAACCCAAATTCAGCAGTTCCCCACTTTCGGCCAAGCGAAACAACTCTTTATCTCTTTTGAGTCTATTTTCTTTCGGTTGCGGTGTAAGTTCTTGCACTTTTTTTGAATTTCAATGGCTTTAATGAGTCGGGTTCTCGAAATTAACAAAATCCTTTTTATACCCTCCACCTTGGAAAGGAGGGTATATTAACTTTGTCATTCCGTTTGTAACATCCCTAAATATTCGTCTTGGGCCCCATAAAGTATGTATATTCATAATCAGCACAAAATTCTAAGCCGATTTAACGATGTCCGTCTGTTTAAATTACGATAGAGCTCACATTTTTTGACGTAGAGCATCAAAATTTAGCAGAACAATTTGTATTGTGTCTAGGATTGTTGGTACTGAAAATGAGATATATCGGTCTATTATTCGGTATTTTGATGATTTTTGTCCCATTTTTTCATGGAATTGTCAGAAAATTGGTATTTGTTGGTCATAATTGGTTCTAGTTCCGGTGGCGAAACATTTTATGTATAGGTCCACGCTTCGGTATAGCCCCCATATAAAGGTAGCTCCCGATATTCGGTATTTTAATGATTTTTGCCACATTTTAACACGAATTTTGTCTCAAAATTGATATTTGTTGGTCAAAATAGGTTCTAGCTCCGGTGGCGAAACATTGCATGTATAGGTTCACGTTTTTGTATATCCCTATATAGCGGTACCTCCCGATATTCGGTATTTTAATGATTTTTGCCACATTTTCCCACGAATATGTCTAAAAACTGGTATTTGTGGGTCATAATTGGTTCTAATGTTTCCATTACCCTAAGTTGGAGGATATTAAAAGTTGGGCCCGGGCCGTTAAGAGATGGGAACTTTTGGTAAAAATATTGGGGTGTGTGCAAAACCTGAAGGCAATTGGACTCTCATTTCACATTTTCTAAGAGTTATAATTTTTCCCGGAGGTACCAGAAGCAGTGGTTCGATATATTCCGTCCTATATTGTCAATTTTCGCACCTGACCAAGCACTGGTAGAAATATAGGGATTTGCAAGATTTTCACAAAATCGAATAATCTCTTGTCCTTCTAAGAGGTAAATTATTTTCTTTGAAAATTTTGAAAATAAGAGGTTGGGAGGTTCCAGAAGGTGTGTATCGATATTGCCCATCTCCGAAGTCGATGTAAGTTTTAAAATAATACTACGATGTACCAAATTTGGGCCAAATCGGATACTTCCTTCGAGAGTTATCGTGCGCACCAGACAGCCAGACAGACGGACGAACGGACATCGCTAGATCGACCCCAAATGACCTGAAACGGATTTGGTCCAAAGAGACCTAGGGTCCAAAACCATTATTTCAATGAGGCTCGTATTGGCAGTATCATATGATATATATACCCTCTGTAGCCATGTGGCTGAGGGTATAAAAATCAATGAGGTTAGGAAAATTTTCTAAAATTAATTTCACTTGAAGCGGCGCCCAATGGGGAAAATCGATTTACTTATTCGTCCCCTGATGTCATTAAAATTTATTTTTCTGTTTTTTTATTATTTTATTCCGATATTTTGATAACCTTGGGCAATTACCTTGGTGTTTTTTTTTTTTTTTTTTTTTTTTTTTTTTTTGAAGTAAGAATCGATTTTTCAAAAAAGTAATTTCTCTCTGGGGAGACTGAATTCCAAGACTCTTTTCTATTTCTTCAAAATTATTGAGTTGACCATGTATGGACGCTTTCAATGCAAATTTCGGACATTAACTATGACCATAATTTGCTCACTCAATCATAATTTGCTAATCTTTGAAAATGTGTGTCCGGTCCAGTCAAAAGTCGTTGAAAATAAGAAACGATTTCCAGGAATTTGGTTATTTTTCGTAATTTTCCAAAGAATTGTGAATACTTCATCTTATTGAAATTTGACTTTCATTATCATTGTTTATTCTCATATATTAAAGCTGAAGAGATTAGACCTTAAATTGAGATCAATCGAAGTGGCACCCAATGCGGTGTCGGTCGTTAGTTGATCGATCACCCCAAGGTTTCCTAATCGGTTTCCAATAGGTTTGCCTATACAAATAAGGTTTTGATAATCATGGTTTATTCTCATGTGTTAAAATTTGAAATATTAGTTAAAAAGCTCCTAAAAATTAGTATCAAGCAATAAGAGGCGCCCAACGGAGAAAATCTAATTCTTGCTTTTCCGAAAAAAATAAAAATTTAAATTTAATTTTTTTTGAAAAATGTTATTAACTTAAGTGGCGCTCAACGAGAAACTAAAATTATTATTATCCTGAATGAATTTTTTTCAGTGAAAATGCGTCCATTTTTAACGCATATTCTCTGCATTTTTTGGAAATTGGGTGTTCAGCAGTAAACCCCCGGCTTTTTGCTTTGTTTGCTGATTTTCGTTTTTACCTACTTTCATACCTCTCGATATTCAGTATTTTGATTATTTTAGAGACATTATTAGACGGAATTGTTTCACATTTTGTATTTGAAGTTCGTAATGGATATTACAGCCTAAGACAGAAAATTGTTTGTGCGGGTCCACGTCTTCGTATAGCCCCCCTACAACGATACCTCCCAATATTCGGTAATTTGATGATCATTATTCCCCGGAGTAGTTTCAAATTACGTATTTAGAGTTCGTAATGGGAACACAGTCTGTGACAGAAAATTGTCTATGCAGGTCCAGGTCTCCTATATAACGGTACCTCCCTATATACGGTATTTTGATGATTTTAGCTACATTATACACTGTTTATTTCAAGTTTCGAATTTGAATACGGTAATGGCTTAAAACAAACAATGCCTATGTATGTCGTATAGACCCCAATATAACGGCTATATTCGGTATTTTTAAGATTTGAACAGAATTTTTAACCGATTTTATTTTTTGAAAATTTCCAAATTCGTTTCAAAGTTCGACCCGGCCGAACTTACTGCTTTTTCAGTTGTTTTGCTCAAACTAATCAAAAAACGCTCGCTTAATTAGCTCAAACTATTGAAGTTTAAAATCTCATTTGCAGTTGGAACTGCCGCAAGTATTAAGCAAAGAATCCAAACAAAATCTAATGACATATCCATGGGTATTGAAATAAATAAACAGAACATGATTCGATTGAAAATAAATTCCAGAAAAAAAACGTCACATCATGACCCCTTCATTCATTCATCCACTCGCTGAAGCCAATTTATGGGATATGGCTTCGTTGTTTTAAAGCTCATAATCTCATTCAGCCCCCGGCCTCACACCCACCCATCTCGTCCCATTTGACATTTTTCAACTAATTTCCCTTTTATTGGTAATTAAAACAATTCATTTGGCTATATGGCGATGCGTCGAATGCATGCTGATAATTACCTTGTTGTCGTTGTTGTTATTGTATTTATTTGCTTTTGAATTTTGACTTAGTATTTCTGTGTAACTTCTAATGTATGCGTAACTGAAAACTGTATATTTTTGAGATTTGTTTATCTCCTCTCCCCTTCCCTCGCCAAACAAATACAAACACACACATCCCTTCCACCACCCCCGTAGGCAGTAATTCACCCCTTCATATGTTGTGAGCTTACATGTGTGCAAAAATATTGTCCAGCTAATTTCGTTGTATTACTAACATACTTTGTGTTGTGTGTGTGTGTGTGCGTGCGTGTTGGAACCATCATCGTACGTATGTTTCAACATCACTCTACACGTCTCTGACTGAATGCTGGACGGGCGTTCTTCACTGCCAACCACCAAACCATATCTCACATTGACAAATACTCGAACCAACCATCTCTATTTAAACATCGCTCCGTTGCGTTGCGTTCCGTTGCTATGCCTTGCATTGAATTGAATTTTGGCGTTTGCATGACGCCAAATGATACTCGCTCGCTCGCTGTATGGTGGCGTTTGCTCTCTGTTTGCCACCATTTCTAAAAACTACCACAACAACCACTACCTACTAATACTTCTACCACCACCACTACCACCACCTAACCAAACATTTTTGTCTATGTGTGCGTTTTCGTGCAAATATGGCGCCATCTGTAGTCAAGAACAGTAGCAATAGCAATAGAAAGGATGCAAATACTACCAATAAATTTATAACTGTACAAAAAACCAATCAAAGATATGTCGTTGAAACTATAACCATGACTACTACCACTACAGTGACCGAACGGCGTATTGTACGCGAAGCTAGCGAAGATCTGGCAATACCGACGTCAGCAGCCGGTTTAGATGATGATGACGATGAGGATCTTGTGCCACCAGCATTGCCAGCCAAGCCGGCAACAATGCAAAGTGGTGGTGGCCTCAGCAACGATAACAGTGCGGACAATAGTGAAAAACCTCCACCAATACCACCCAAGGAATCATCGCCGACCACACAGATAAGCGGCATCCTCAAGGGTGGCAAACTATGGAAACAGGATTCAATATCACAGGTAAGTTGAAGTTTTCAAATTTTGTTTAAGGAATATTTATATATCGTTCTGCTAGGAATAGTTGGCGCCCAAAGTGGGTGGCATATCAAGCATCAATTTAATATTTTGTAAAAGGAACATTTTTATATAAAACACATAGGTTGGGAATAGTTGGCGCGCAAATTGGTGCGATATCAATATTTTGTTTATGTAAATTTTTTATTGCATAAGCATAGTTAGCTATAAATGGCGCCCAAAGTGAGTCTGGTTATGCCATTAATTCAGACATTAATAACCTCAAATAATGACAATCGGTATTTATTATCCCATGCTTTAGTCAAGTATGTGACTTCAATTATTAAGGGCCAACTGGCGCCCAACATGAGTCTCTATTTAAACAAGGTGGCATAGCTTTCATATGGAAATGATTCCATAACACAAGTTCCCTCCGGTTGCTGGAGTAAGCTCACGGAGGCCAGAGTGTCATTAAAATTTGTAAAATCGAGACTGAGAGGGATAGCACACCGATTTGTTGAGTTTTTATACTCTTTGTACCTAAAACGTGCCAGTTTTAGACCCTGGGTCTCTTTGGACCAAATCCATTTCAGGACATTTGGAGTCGATCTAGCGATGTCCGTCCGTATGTCTGACTGGTTGGTGCTCACGATTACTTTCGAAGGGAGTATCCGATTTGGTACATCGTAATATCACTATGAAACATAGATAGAGTTCGGATATGGGCAATATCGGTCCACTCCTTCTGATACCTGCCCCACAAAAGGTCGATATTTTCAAAAAATATATTTTACTGTATAGGAAGAGATAGGATAATCCGATTCTGCTTTAACTTCGCAAATTTTGCACCATCATGTACCTCCCTCCCAAAAGGATCAACATTTTGAATAATTTCAACCCTCATAAATCGTGATGTAAGAGTTCGACTGTCTTCAAATTACACACATCCCAATATTTTTATTAACCCAAGGGAACCCTAGGGATACAAAACTATTCAAAGGGTTTGTCTTAAATACCGAAGACCCAAGGGATACGTACTCTTCAAAGGTTCTTTTTAAAATACGAGAACTCAAGGGATATGAACTCTTCAAGGGTTATGTCTAAAATACCGAAGACGACAAAGGGATACGAACTCTTCAAGGGTTGCATCTAAAAACACCTTGAGTCCAAGGACTCTTCAAGGGTTATGTTTAAAATACCAAGAACCCAGGAATACGAACTCTTCAAGGGTTGTACCTAAAAAACCGGGAACGCAAAGGATACGAGCTCTTCAAGGGTTGTATCTAAAAATAACGGGAACCCAAGGAATACAAACTCTTCAAAGGTTTTCTCTAAAATACCAAAGACCCAAGGGATATGAGCTCTTCAAGGGTTGTATCTAAAAACACCGGGAACCAAAGGGATACTAACTCTTCAAGGGTTTTGTCTAAAAAGCCGAAGACCCAAGATATACGAACTCTTGAAGCGGTTTGTTTAAAATACCGAAGATTGCAGGGATACGAACTCTTCAAGGTTGGGCCTAAAAACTCCGGGAACCCAAGGAATACAGACTCTTCAAGGTTCTTGTCGTAAATACCGAGAACCCAAGGGATATGAACTCTTCAAAGGGATACGAACTCTTAAAGAGTTGTATCTAAAAACATCGGGAACCCAAGGGATATAAACCCTTCAGGGGTTTTGTCTAAAATACCGAAGACCCAAGGGATACGAACTCTTCAAGGATTTTGTCTAAAATACCGAAAACCCATGGGATATGAACCCTTATAGGGTTGTATCTGAAAAACACCAGGCACCCAAGGGATACCGAAGGCCCAAGGGATAACAACTGTTCAAGGGGTTTGTCTAAATCACTGAGTACCCAAGGGATACCAACTTTTCAAGGGTTATATCTTAAAAACCCCCCGGGAACCAAAGGGATACAAACTCTTCAAGATTTGTCTAAAATACCGAGAGCCCAAGGGATACGAATTCTTCAAGGGTTGTATCTAAAAACATCGGGAGCGCAAAGGATGCGAACTCTTCAAAGGTTTTCTCTAAAATACCAAAGACTCAAGGGATATGAACTCTTCAAGGGTTGTATCTAAAAAACATCGAGAACCCAAGGGATACGGACTTTCTTACCAGAAACCTGGACTGACCTAAAACGTTGTCCACATTTAGCTTGCACTGGTAACAATACTGCAAAACTTTAGGTTATCAAACCCTTTTTTGTGAAGTTTTTGGATGATACATTCCTATAAAATTGAATCCTTAATAGAATAGATGGAGGTTGTACTGATTCTTTGAAAAGTGAAGCCATTCGACTTCGATCTGCATCTTAATATTCGCAAAAAGAATGTGATCGACTAATTGGCGGCCAACGCATTTTCTTCTACATTCTATTTGTCTCTAAACTTACGTAAATAATGTGTGACAAATTGGCTCCCAAGGTGGGATCGTCATCTCATTAAAATTACTTCAGAGAAAGATTGTCAAAAGAAAGCATGTCTTTGGATCTTCAAATTATAAAAATGGCGCCCAACGAGGGGCCATCATCTCTCTAAGTTTTTTTTAAGATTTCAGAGACAGATTGTCAAAAGAAAAAAGTTATTGAATCTTCAGATAATCAATTTGGCGCCCAATTTATGTAAATAATGTGTGAAAAATTGGCACCCAACGTGGATCATAATCTCCTTAAGATTTCTTAAGACTTTAGAGACTGATTGTGAAACGAAAAAATGTTCTTGAATTTTCAAATCTTCGTTAAACATGTGATTGACTAATTGGCGTCCAAAGTTTTTTCTTCCGAATTTTATTTGTCTCTCAACATATCTAAATTATCTGTGCCCAACGTAAGGTCATCATCTCATTCAAATTTAAGACTTAAGAGACGAATTTTCAAAAGAAAAAATGTTTTTGGACTTTCAAATCATCAAAATGGCGCCCAACGTATATCTAGTTACCAAAAAACCTATTCATTAACCTCTTTTAACTTTACCAAGGAAAACATTCTTTCCTACATTTTTCTCATCCGTTTTATCTCTCTTTCTCCCCTCTCTAGTCCGATGACCAAAATAACACAACATCCGAAGATGAAGCCGGTTCAATGTCAAATCACAGTACAAAACGTTCGGTACGTTTCGTAACGGAGGATTTGAATAATAGCTGTGACGAAATCGACGGAGCCTCATCATCGGTCGACGATGTCAATGATAACCAGATCAATGAGCTAATACCGATCAAGAAACACTCGACTTTGTTCAAAAATGCCCTGCGGCCCAATTCGGCAGTGCAACAATTGTTCCCCTCTAGTGTGGTTCATCAAACTCTTACCTCAGAAGCTTTAAGGGCATTCGATGAATCGAAGAGGGCCGGTTCTTTGGTCTCCACACTGCCCGGGGCAGCTGGGGCAGGGGATTCGGATACACTGCGTCGTAGCATGGAAAGGAATATACTGAGACGTTCGTTGATCAAGTAAGTAGGATGGTATCCTGTATTTGTTAGAACCTCTCATTTCGAATTTGATTTCTAGGAAAAAAGCTGTTAAATCGGATATATCTCTGGAGGATCGTATTCGCCAGCTAACCTGTGGCATTGATGAGGACAACGATGAATCCAATATGGATAATGGTGATGATGATCTAAGCAAAAGTGAAGATGGTACCGATTTTTCACATCGCGACAGTCCTGCCGGCGAGGAGAATCCTCAGAAATTCACCGGCAATGGTGGGGCCAATAACAGTGACAAGAGTTTCTCACCCAACTCCTCGGTATCAAGTTCGTCAAGTGGTTCATCGGCCTATAAGAAAATCACAGAGATTTTCAATCGTGACAAGAAGTCGCAGGAGAAGATTATGGAAATGGAAGAGAATCCTATTGTTATAATACCTCAGGTAAATTTTCATATTTTAAAGGTCTCCTGGGAGAATTTTTAACATTTTTGTGTTTTTGGCAGGAATGTCGCTGTCCGGCAGCCCCAGATTTGGGTATGGGCGTCCAAGTGCCTGTAGTACACACACAAATCCATCGTACACCTCCCCGACAAACAGAACCAAAACGTCAATTCCTCTCCACGCTGGCCCCCCTGACAGCCTGTGTGGCTGGCAACAAAGATGACTTGTCGTCATATTACACCCTGGCAGCGGCCCATCACAATCAGGCCGCCCAACATATACATGCCTCCGAGTATAGCCTATCGGCTTTGGTGGCCGGCGATCCCAATGTTACGGGGATGGGCCAGGGGGTGGGAGGTGATGAGGTACGCAAAGTTGCTCCTGATGTCATTGCTGGCACACCGGGTCAAGAGCAGCAGGATGAATTGGCTGCCTTTGCCCAACAGGATGCAAATCGAACGGAGAAGATCAAGAAACGTTATGGCAACGAGACCAGCACAGGCGATGACAACAGCAAGGATGGCAAGAAGAAAGACAAAGATAAGGATAAAGACAAGGATAAGGACAAAGACAATTCGGATGATGATGAGGGCAATGACTACGGCTTCAATAAACGACCCTCGGTGCGTGGCATCAAACCCAAATTCAGTTCGACCAATGAAATTCTACAACAAATGCAAGAACAACTTACCCAACAAATGCCCAGTGTGACCCAGAGTCAAGCGCTGCCGCAACCCATGAAAAGCTATACCTTGCCAAAACAATCCAGTAGCAGTGCCATGAGTAAACAAATCTCCCAACAGCCATCACCCCAGAATGTACCCCATCCCACCATGGTGGCATCGTCCCAGACTCAGCTGTCCCAGCCACAGCAGCTGTGCAGTGCCGTGGTTGGTGGCGGTGTCGCCCCTGGTCCCAATGCCATACAATTACCCGCAAATGCCACAATAGCCCAACAGCAAACCGAACAGCGAACCTGGAGTTTCTACAGTGCCGAAACGGCAGCTGGTGCTGGCGGCGCCGAGCAACGTCTTCCAATCGAAACAGCCGCAGCGGCTGCCATGCAACAGACCTACTACCAAACATTGCCAGCCGGTGCCATGTTCCGTCACACAATGATCCATCAGCAACAGGGGCCCGCCGACGAGGCAATGCTTTATGCCCAAAATTGCCAGGCGATGGCCACGACAATTGAACCGCAACCCCAGCCCCACTATGGACACTATGCCCGCAGTCCAACACGTCGTCCCGAATCGCCACCACCCTTGCGCAACTATCATCAGACCATGGTTCTGATTCCATACAACGCCGAGACGTATTCACAGTTTGCCGCCACGAATATCGATCCTAAAATGGCCCATATGCAACGTCAGAATATTTTGGAATACCAACAGGTAGGCGAGATGACACAAGTAAGGACAAAAATTCAAAATTCCACCTTTTTTCTAAATTTGTTGTAATGTGTTTGTTGGTGTTGGTGTTATTGTAAGTGTTGTAATTGGTGAATATGGTGATTGGCTTTAAATGTTAACAATTGGTTAAGGGGTATTGGTATAAATGTATGTTTAAGTGTAAATAATTTAAAAATAGATCAATCGATTTGAAAATGATGAAGTGACGAAAAATTATTACAATTACGACTTAGTATTTATTTGAAAAGGCGATATCAAAAAAAAATCCCAGAATTTATACGAATGGACCAATAACAAATTATTCAAGAAGTAGAAAAACTCGTCCCCGAAACCAGAAGTTCAACCTCTTACTAGTTCTTTGAGCTTGATTCGTTCGGAACAATAGTCGCTTAGATCTACGGATTTAAGAATAGGGTTTATTATACTTTTGTGACACAATTTTAATAAATCCTATTCTAAAACCGTTGCTCGGAGGGACTATTAGGGGTTAATCCTGGGCCAGGAATACACAACTCATCTAAATAATATCCGACTAACCCATATTAGTACAAAAAATTCAAAATAAATTTCTATTGAAGATTTTGTTATTTTTGAAGGCGAAAAATTAAAAAAAGTTGGAATATTCCCCGATGTGAGTTGCAACAAGTAAAAAACCTCGACTGGGCCGAACTTTGAATACCCTCCACCATTTGGAACGAGTTTGACAATTCTCAAAACAATAAAAATTTTGTTAAAATATTAAAAAAAAAAAATACCGAATGTAGCTGTTATATTAGAGTCTATACGACGACATGGACCTGCATAGGTAACATTTGTCATTAACCATTACAATATTCAAATGAGAACTTTAAAAATCGTTAATAATGAATCTAAAATGATCAAAATACCGAATATCGGGAGGTTTTGGTATGTAAGAGGGCGATGCCAAAACGTGGACCTGCACAGACAATTCTCTGTCTTAGGCTGCAGTATCCGTTACGAACTTCAAATACCAAATTTGAAACAATTATCTAAATACCGAATATCGGGAGGTACCGTTATATGGGGGCTATACCAAAACGTTGACCTACATGACCCATTTTCAATATCAACCTTCTTTATTTCGTTCGGGAGCTAGAGTATATTTTGAATTCTGTTATGATTATTCAAATTGTTGACCCTCTATGGAGTAGTTTCAGAAGGAGTGGACCAATAGTGTCCATTTCGTATCGGACCTGAATAAATATTATTTAAATATTGCGACGTGCCAGGTTTGGACTACAAAGAAAAACGCCATAATTTTTACATTCTTCTTAAATTTTATTGAATGAAAACAAGAAATGTCGGAAATGGCATCAAATTTTAGAAAAACTTGAGATTTGTTCGAATTGGTCACCTTTGGCACGAATTATGGCCTTCAAACAGCGAATGGAACCGTCGCAATCTGCCCAAATGTTGCTCTGCGCTATTTTGGCCCATTCCCGGCGAAGCGCTTGCTTGAGGTGATCGACACTTTGGTATTTTTAGTGCCAACCTTGTTTTCCAAAATACTCCAGACACAATAGTCCGACGGATTGGTATCTAGAGATTTTAGTGGCCATTGTGTGCTAGAAATGAAGCGAAGAACCTCATTATGTAACCATTCTTGGGTGGAACGTACTGAGTCCTGTTAGAATGTCCAAGGTCTGCGGCGAAAATGTGTGCGTTCCCAAGGCTTTAATACACTCTCGGTGGTCAACTCTCTGGTGGCCAACCGAAGGTGCACATTTTCAGCTGACCTCTTTGGCAAATGAAGACGATCATTTTGTTTGTTTACAAACTGCTGAACGGACAACGAATGTTTTCTCATCGGAGAACACCAAATTCGGCAGTTCACCACTTTCGGCCAAGCGAAGCAACTCTTTAGCTCTTTTGAGTCTATTTTCTTTCTGTTGCGGTGTAAGTTCTTGCACTTTTTGGAATTTCAATGGCTTTACCACCCCGAGCTCATTTTTCAATATTTGCCGAATGGAATATTGCAATTAGTTCAGCTCTCGAGCCATTTTTCGGCCACTGCGACGCGGATTTCGATCAAGTCGCTTCTTTACATTTCAAACCATTTCTGCTGATGTTGCTGTTCTCTTCCGTCCTCTTCTCGGACGTCGGGCTACGCTATCAGTGTCACGGTAACGAGCGATGGTACGGGACCCAAAAGATTTATTCACATTTAAATGCTGGAGTGCCCTAACGATAGCCAGCCAAAATAAAGAAATCACTCTTCCATGCTTGAATTCCATCACGAATAACCTTTTTTCTGGAAAATTCCTACCAAAATGCTTTTGTACGTTTGTAAACAATATAATGAGCTAAGCCACTACCATATTAAAATTTGAAAACTTAAAATAAGTGGTAAAATAATGTAGCTAAAATCATCAAAATATCGTATATAGGGAGGTACCGTTATGTCGGAGCTGTGCGAAGACCTGAACCAGCATAGACAATTGTCTCAGGCTGTAGCATCCATTACGAACTTGAAATATGACATCTCAAACAATTTCGGTGGGTATTGTACCTAAACTCGTCAAAATGCCGAATATAGGGAGGTACTGATATATGGGGCCTATACGAACCCTGGACCAGCATACACAATTTTCTGTCACAGACTGTAGTTCCCATTACGAACTCTAGATACATAATTTGAAACTACTCCTGAATAATGTCGCCAAAATGATCAAAATACCGAATATCCGGAGGTACCGTTATATGGGGGCTATACGAAGACGTGGGCCTGCACAGACAATTTTCTGTCACAGTCTGTAGTATCCATTACGAACTTCAAATACCAAATTTGAAACAATTCCGATGAATAATGTCGCTAAAATTATCAAAATACCGAATATCGGGAGGTACCTTTATATGGGGGCTATATGAAAACGTGGACCTACATGGCCCATTTACGAACATAACCTGCCTACTGTAAAAATAAACATGTGTGAAAAATTTTAGACTTCTATCACAATTCGTTCGAAAGATAGCGTGATTACAACAGATGGACAGACAGACATATGGACATGGCTAAATCGACTTAGAATTTTACGCTGATCAAGAATATATAAACTTTATTGGGTCTGAAATGAGTATTTCGATGAGTTACAAGCGGAATGAAAAAGTTAATATACCCTCAATAGTATGGTGGAGGTTATAAAAAAAAGTTCCGCAAGCGAATATTACATATTTCGAATATTACTTCATTTCAAATCGATTGGTCATTGAATTGTAAAATACTATAATATATGGGTTTTTTAACAATCCTGATACGATTGTTTTACCTGTTAATACGTGTAGATCATCGTTGCTTATACATGTCTTTCAACTACTCTCTCTCTTTCCACATCGGTACTCATCTCTTTCTCGTATTTCGCTCTCTCTCTTCCAGGTCACACAACAAACCATACGTGTGCCAATTGGCTATGCCCTACCCGGTATGCAGTTACATGTTGTGGCCGGTCGTGGCCAACATACTACCGCCCAATATGCCACAGCCCCGGTGCAGGGACAACATCGACATCATCATCAGATTTTGACCCAGCAACGTTATCAATTCGCTCAAGATGCCAACAGTATGGCGGGAGGATTCAGTGAACGTGGTGTGCCCGAGGGTGCAGCTGCCGTTTCGCACAGTGATTGTTCGAGCAGTGGCATGGTTTCGCCAACAACGGCTCAACAAATGTCGTCGATGGCCCAGCAGCAGCAGCAACAGGGTCAGCAGCAACAAAATTCCCAAATGCAGCAGCAACAACAAATGAGTTGTCAACAGCAGCAGCAGATGCAGCAACAGCATCAGATGGTGCAGCAGCAACAACAGGCCCAACAACAAAGTCAGGTGCAAAATAATGTTCAGACCGCCGCCGCAGCCGCCACAGCTCAGGGTTCCGTGTATTATGCAATGAATGTATGACCCGCAGTCGATTAGTCCATATCAACGGCGGTAATTGTCGAACGCCGCCAATGTCAACGTGTCGAAATGTCTGCAACATCGGTGCAGCTGAGCACCCGGTAGAGTGAGATTTGCGGAAGTGGAGTCGTTATGGCGGTAAGATAAGCAGAAGTAAGTATTTGCGAGATTTTTGTTTCCATTGACCCAGTGGGACATCTGTCTGTCTGTCTTACACACTACCTACAACCTACAACAACACCTGATTGCTAACAACAAAAACGATGAGCTGCCATTTAAGGAATTTAGTAATGAATGTATGTATGTATGTCTTTTTCAGGACAAATTCTGTATGTATGTAATTTTTGTTTGTAAGTGCATGAATTTAAGAAGTAACAGGGAATTTTTGTTTGAATTGGCTCTCAAAACAAATGGCTGAATGTCGCATGTCAACTCAAATGATGACGAAAATAAAAACATATTTTTTTTTGAAAACCCAAGCGAAATCAAAACTGAAAAAATAATAATAATAACAAATATTGAAAAAATAATTTCCCTAAATGTAGGGAATTTGATATTTTTAGCGATAACTAATTTTTTTTGGAAAAAAGCAAACAAACAAACAACTGAAAGAAAAGCGCACACACACTCATTTACAGTAAATAATTGGAAATATTTTTTAGTAATAATTGGTTAAAAAAATTGTTCATTTTAAGTGGCTTATTTGTTATTTGTCCAAATTGAATCGTGATTTTGTGTGAAAAATCAAAAAGCAACTATTTATTTGTATGTGTATTTCAAAAAAATTCGTGTATAAGTTTATGAAAAACAACAACAACAACGAAGTGAACAACTCAAAATAGATACCAAGTCCAAATTTGTGATGTAAAAAAGGAATAATTATCAGATTTGGATGAAAACTTGGTTGGACGAAATTTCAAAATTCCATTTCACTGCATTGAGTTTTAAGAGGAGTTTATTTTATAATTACTTTGAGCTATAACTTTTCATGAGATCTTGTAATGCTGATGAATTTTTAGACGAACAAAGAAGGGTAGTCATTGAATACGAAACTGCTAATTTAGACAAGTCGAAGTGATGGAAAATATAATCAGGATCTTCAGAACCAGTGTCGCGTTGGCCAATTTCGCTGTGAAAAAAAAAAAAACGGAAATGACTGGCAATGAGGCAGGCACAGTGTTAGTGTTTATAACCTCCACCTTGGCTATGGAGGGTATATTAGCTATATTTTTTAATTAGATTTTTTAATGCTGATGAATTTTTAGCCGAACAAAGAAACTGCGAATTTAGGCAAGTCGAAGTGCAGGAAAATATAATCAGGATCTTAAGAACCAGGGTCGCGTTGGCCAATTTCGGTGTAAAAAACAAAATTAATGACTGACAATGAGGCAGCCACAGTATCGTATAGCCGCCATATAACGGTACCTACCTATAATCGGTATTTTGATAGTTTTAGCGACATGATGATTTGGTATTTGAAGTTCTTAATGGATACTACAGCCTATGACAAAAATTGTCAGTGCAGGTCCAGGTCTTCGCACAGCTCCGATATCACGGTACCTCCCCATATACGATATTTGGATGATTTTAGCTACATTATTCACTGTTTATTTCAAGTTTCGAATTTGAATACGGTAATGGCTTATGACAAACAATGCCTACGTAGTTCCACGTCGTATAGACCCTAACATAAGGGTATATATAAGGTATTTTTAATAATTTAACATAATTTTTAAGGATTTTTTTTTTTGAGATTGCGGATCGATAGTACGTTCGAGTTACGTTAAGATAATATAGTTTGGCGGCAATTTGAAAGAACAGTAGCTCGAGGGACCGCGGGGACACATCGTTTTTTAGCTTATTCCTGCTTCTAATAAGCTAAAAAACGATGTGTCCCCGCATTCATCGGGCTGCTCAGCGGGTGCAGGCACCGAGGTTGGTGACACACCTGTGTCATCATCGAATGTTTTGTTGATTAAAACACTAAATTAAATCTCCTCGTTTTTCAAGGCAATAATATGAAAAAAAAAACAAATAAAAAATCCGCAGGGCCTAATTTTTTACTACCCTTTACTAATTGGAAGGAACTTGCAAAATTTAAAAAAAAAATTTGGAATATCGGATGGGGTTATACGAAAACGTACACCTGTATTTTCAATTGCCTGGCAGAGATGGAGGTGCCAATTGTAAATTTCAAATATCAACTTTGACATAATTCTGTTGAAAAAATTTTCTAAAATGGGGGAAAAATACCAATTATCGGAAGGTGCCATTAAATGGGGGGATGTATGAAGATGTGGATTTAGATCGGTAATTTTCTGTTGTAAGAAGAGGTGCCCATTACGAACTCCATATTCCAAGTTTGAAACAATTCCGATGAAAAGTGTGACACAAAATATCAAAATATCGAATATCGTTAGGTACAATTTATGCTGGGACCTTTATACACGGTTTTCTGCAAGGATCTTTCCCACCTACTAGCTGCCAGTTTACCGCAAATTATGTATAAAGTTTGACAAGAACACTCAAAACACATTAAATTTGGCAGTATAGTCATATGGGGGCTATGCCAAAACGTGAACCTATAGAGCCCATTTTCAACACCAAACATTCTACGGACCTTAAATAAATTTGAGTGAAATTTTGTCAACCTACTGTACTCCGTTAGGACTCTACAATGATTTCCACAGACAGGGAGACGGAGGGACATGGAAATGGTCCAAAACCCTTTTTTCGAGGAGTTTCAAAGGGAATGACAAACTTAATTTACCCTCCATTCTATGTATGGTGGAGGGCATAAAAATAGGAATATTGGCAAGCAAACTTCGGAAGTATTCGGGAATTCCGGTTTTAGGACTTGTAGATAATTAGACATTACAATATTTCTGGTTCTGGGACATTGAAGGTGATCGGAAACCCTGATGAATGGAAGTCAGGACGTCAAACGAAGCCTTGTTGTATCGTTCGTGTTCGGCTCACAGTTGTTTGGGTCTTGTAAGAGTAGTAGATTATGGAAGACTCGTTGTATTGGCGATAGGGTTGTTTACGAAGATTAGTTGAACGGGTAATGCTTTAGTCTATGATTATCTCTACGTCACTATTCTAGATTTCTGTTGGAACAGCGAAGAGACTAAGCTGCTGTTGGAGCAGTGGGTCTAAGCTCCTGTGGGAAGAGTCAGACGATACTCCTGTTGGAACAATGAGAAATATCTTCAGTTCCAACAGAGAACCGAAGTTCCTGTGTCAATATATTACCGGTCACTTATTATTATGGACAGTAAGCTTCCAGATAACGATAATGTTATATGGGGGACAACAAATGACGTCAAGCCTCCTGAAGTAGCAATCTCGTCTGTCCACCATAAAAAAGCATTTTTGTCACGTTACAGAAGTTTGAAGGTAGCTTGGCACAGAAGTCGCATAAGCGGTGCCGAAACCTAATTTTGTATTTTGACAACATAGAAGTTAGTTGCAGTTTGCCACATCTTCTCTCCGAGATACTAAAAAACAAGTTCATGATAAAAGGGGACCCTATAATTTCTGCTCAAATTTAAGGACTAATAACAACTTCAGCCCAAAGAAGAGCGAGTTCTTGCAACACACAAGATTTTAAATCAAGGCTATTTCTCCTAACATATTCAAGGTCGAGTCTAGCTCTGTCCATTAGGAAGAGAGTTTACGTGAAATAGTGACTAGTCCTAGACTATTGAATGTTGGGCTCTGTAAGAACTATGAAAGAGGGAGTTGTTGCAAGCCGATTCCGTACACCAATGATTTTCATCTAGTTAGCTACCTTAGATTGCTTTAACCCGAGTACTCCGCCGACCCTGAAGTAGTGAGTGTAATCGGTTCCAAATTCTCGTGTTACATTCATTGTGTTGTCACAAGAAATTCGAATTCATAAAACGTTACTGAATCGATTTTTCGTAAAATACTCTCAGTCGAGTAAGCCTCTCTATGGTTTCGAAAGAAAATTGTCCATTCGGAGAGTCAGTGTTGGAGTACGATCGTTGGATTTATGTAGGACACCGACTCTGATTACTAGCGTCGCCAAATAATGTAAGAATCCAGACAGTGAGTTTTCGTAAGTGGTTGGAAGTCAAGTGGACCAATGAACCAAGAGAAGCGAACGAGTCTGCGTTCTCTGTATACCAATGAGTTTTTCCAAGATACTTCCGATCTAGTTTTTTTTTTTTTTAAACGTTCTAGCTTACTCCAGCTTCTCTGCTGTTTTCACATGGTGGACCATAGTAGATCGAAGTGATTTTGTTACTTTTTTTGAGCCATTGTTATCCGATTTCTGCGCGAACCAAGACCATGTTCCACAAAGTAAAATTTTGTCAATCAAATCAAATCCTGATTTTAGCTTTACTGAGGAAAAGACCAGACGAACAGAGACTTCAATACCTCGTAATTTGGTTCTGACTCAGCGAAAATGTTATTGAGCTATGAGGAAACTGCAATCTACACCGCCCTACTTCATGGGCTATCTTATTTGTATTTTACGAATGAATTAGTTTACGAAGAAAACCCTGGATGCCCTCTGGCCCTGGTATTTCCCTCAAAATCTAAAAATCGTTTGATATTGGGAAAAGAATCTATGTGAAAAACGTTAAGCTTGTCTGGCTTCGATTGCGGTACCACCAAGTCCAGGATATGTTTAACGCCTAACTTAATGACTCAGTGAGATGGAGAATATCATTCGTTTTGGGAGTCATTCGGTTTTATGTGTCCTGCTGTCCTTGCTCAGAAGTTAGGTCTTTTTTCAAGTATCCGATTAGAAGATATAAAGTGCACGGCTTAATCAGTGATAATATCCGAGAGTATTTTTTATTCCTATCGTTACCTGGAAAGCAATGTCAGTTTCATGATGAGAATTCTAGTGTTTCTTTTTTTTTTTTGGCAAGACCTTTGATAAATGTTGACCTATTGTATGATGGAAAAAAATTCGATATAAGTCTAATTCCTCGCTATCCACACCCATGCACTTTGCAGAAATTACGAGACAAATTTATTCTCTCTTTGGCCACGTTATTCTCTCATAAGCTCTCTCATATATTTTGCTGCCTATGTTCTAATTGGCCTTGTATGTTTCCCCTTTTAAAGAATTAATTTTCTGCTAAAATTTTTTGAAATTGGAATATTTT